AGCAAGCCCCCACGGGTATAATTTGAGGCGGGGCTCATCGTCTCAGGCCTAGCTTCGAGCATCAAATGTTGTGCTGCACCATATGCACAAGCTCTAACACATCTATATTTCAGCCTCTACCGTCCTTGTGTGGCTAATGGTTGGATGTGAAGCTTGGAGGTTATGAACATGCTATTAATATACTTAACCACTCCCTCCGATCCGTATTAATTGTCGCTGATAATTAATATGGATCAGAGAGAGTAAGTATTAAAAACAAATGATGATGCTCAAAAGTGCATGCATGCGGTATTAAAAACAAATAGAATGTACAACTACATCTCAAGTACAATATGTATATTCATTCAAAACAAAAACATTGCCAGCTGTACATTATGTGATGAAATACGAGCATGAATAATTGGATCCATTCAAAGTTTTTGGGATGTTTTGAGTTATGATGTATGTCAATAAACATTTTGAGCTACGATGTACATTGCCAGCTGTAAAAAGCATTCTCCATGAAAGTTGAGAGAAATAGAAAGCCTATGAGAGTGCGGAGTGGTATACAGACTCATGCAAGATCGGCTGCAGTATGGAAGCCCCCTCAAGCCTGATGGAATTAGGCTGATTGTAATGGGGAGTATCATATACTAGTATCATGCGTATGATACTAGTGTATGATACTACCTCCCTAATGCATAGTATCATATATTAGTATCATGTAGTACTTTATTTATTGTCATGCATGATGCATATTAGCATAGCACTTATTATGATACGGTATCATGATATAATATTCAACATTTTTTTCTTTATTTAATTGTATGACACCTCATTAAAATTATCTACTAGTTGACATGCATGATACTAGCTATGATACTATCATTACGATCAAGCTTAGGTAAAATTTGATGCTAGCTTCAATCCTCACTCATCTTCAGGCACAACTGGTGGGGTGGTGCCGGGTCTGAAAATCTGTTGGGGCTGTTGTCCCAATCTGCACATCAGTGGAGGAGGAGCTTCATGCGTGCAATCCGAGGATTTTGTATCGATTTGAGTTTTGGCTGCCTATTATATTGGAAACTACTGCCTTTACATCAGAAACACGGGCTTCAAGATGGTGGCTATGGATCTCTGCCGATTTTAGGATTTTTAATATTAGCATAAATGCTAATGAAGTGGCTCATAGTTTAACAAAGATTAGTAAGAATGGGTCTTGTTCAGGTGTGTGTGTCGGTGCAGTCCCATCCTGCACGTTGAAATTGGCAGAATACGAATATACGATTGCACAAACTTAGTTTAGTTAAAGTTATCAGTTAGAAAAACTGTATGAAGTTTGTGTAACAAGGTGTTAAGAAATGACGACCACTTTCCTTAAGAAATACGTAAGTAAATAACTACCGCTATGCCAATGTAGTTTCTCCCCCTCCCCACACCACTGTACTACCGACAATGTCACCCAAAGTGGAGTAAATTGCTCAAAACCATCATATTTATGGCTAGGATACTTCTTTACCATGGTTTTGTCAAAAACCACACAAGACCACCGCTTCTGCACCAAGCAGATAGCAAATCGCACTGGTCCAGACATGAGCCGCGACTAACCCAAAAACTGACAGGGCTGGCTCACCTGTCGGGTCCACGTGGCATATCTACGTGGACAATATGCCGAGGTGGCCAAGGGTCCCACATGTCAGCCCCGCACCTCCTTCTTCCTCCTAACATCTCTATTTCCCCCTCTCCCCCCTCCCCTCCATGGTGACCTCGACAAGCCCTCCTGCCGCCGCAGCCCTCGCCCGGATCCTGCAAGAACTGAGCCGCCTCTGCCTTCCGCACCTCAGATCCATGCTCGCCGCTCCAATCCGAGCCCTCTACCTCGCCGATGACTCTGCCTCCGCGCCACAAACCCGCGCAACCCCTACAACTACCTCCCATGCCATGGCCCCGACCCAGCTCCCCCAGCCGCCTTCCCTCCCGACGTCGGCCTCCCCTAGCCACGTTGCCTCCCGACGCCAGCCTTCCCCAGCCGCCTTCGCCGTCGACAAACACGACGGGAGGGACGCCCCACTGTCGCGCTTCCCGGCCTCATCAACCCGGCTTGCTCCCCCTCTATTCCCCGACTCTCTCTAGTTCTGGGCAATCCGCGTCGCCGACCTCGCTCCTCGCCGGCCAAGGTCATGGCCGCCAGCACGGGCGCAACTAGGGCCTCCCGACGGGCGCCGCAAGCATGGGTACGGTTAGGACTCGGCCGACCGTCGACCAACAAGGGTGGTGAGCGGCATGCAGTGCGTCGATGTTCTTGTCCATGTTGAGAGGAAGAAAAGGAAGAGGGGTAAATAAAATTTGTGGCTGACAGGTGGGACCCCATCCACCTCAGCAGGTCAACACATTGACTAGGATTAGTCTTCACTAGATCAACTCGATGGACAGGTTCCACCCGTCAGTTCTGCTGTTAGACGTGGCTCAATTTTGAATTAATGCGATTTGTTACTCATTCACGGTGGAGGTGGTAATCTTCTGTTATTTTTTGGCAAAAGAGGTAGTTTTGGAGTACCCTAGCCACAAATGTGATGGTTTTGAGCAATTTACTTCCCAGAGAGGTACCACCCATGCCCTACCCGCGAAAAAAATGAGTTTTCAATGGGAAATAAAAGCTTTACTAATTTCAGCAGGGTGAAAGCTTCTAGTGACACTTTCATCGGGTGTCTTGACAAAAGCTTTCAACAGGAAATCACGAGTTTGTAGTTAGGAATTTAAAACTTTCAACTTTGACAAACGAAGAGAGCTTTCAAGTACAAAGCCTAGAACCTTAAGATCAAGCATCGCGATTTTCAACTTTGAAATTACGACTTCCAAACCGAGGAATCGTTTTCAAATTATATAATACCAACACTTAACTTGTACGATGATACCAACTTTCAGCACAAAACTATGAAGCCATGAATACAAAAATAAAACAATTCCTACAGAGGTTGGATTTGGAGAATAACTTGAAACTTGGGGAGTCTTAGCTTGAAAATTTTAACGAAGTCTCGCTGAAATTTTCGTTGCTATGAAATATTTTATATCAAAATTTTAGCCTAAATTCAGTCGAAATTCAAATTTTGGTCAAAATTATTTAAAATATTAGTAATTTCACGTAAAATAACTTTCAAAATCTGTCGAGGCTTGAGCCAATATATTTATGTTCATAAAATGTTAAACCTCGATATTGCACGACAATACTTCGCCCACATCATACACCTTTCTGGTAGTCACTGTATTTTTTTATGTTATTGCACTACACTATTTGTTTCATCTAAGGGAATACACCTACAGTAAACTTATAAACTCAACCAACTAGCTAGTTGTGCTGTAAAAATGTGTGCACGTCTATTTATCAGATTCAAATAGTGATTGCGTTTTGGACGTGGAGTTTCCGCTCCCGTCTCAAATGCACCCTCGTGAACACTAAAATTGAAAAAAAAATAACATTCTGGAATTTTTTTCCGGTAACAACCACTCTTGAATATTCTACTTACATGAAAAAATACACAAAGAAAAAACAGATTTAATGCTCTGGGCAAGAGAAAACAAAATCAATACTCCAAAAACACTATATTTTTAAAAGTGTGTTGGAGTGCTGATTTTGTTATTTTTGATAAGACCTCCACGAACATGGTTTCACGTCTAAAATATGCACGAAGGAAACTAAGCAATGTTTGTAGCCAAACGAAGTCAGATTTTTTAATTTGTCTAATGGTACTGTTTCTGAGGGAGCATTTGATCTCGGGATTAGAAGTGCACTTTTGATGTGTTTCTCACACTCCCGCACCTTTCTCCCCAATCTCGTGTAATCCTTGAAATAGTACTAGATTACAGTTACCAGACAGGCCCCGCACCTTTCTCCCCAATCTCGTGTAATCCTTGCCGTTGAGGCCTAAATATGTTTATGAAATAACGTTAAATCTCAGATTGTGCACAATACTCTCATATATACACCCTCCTGAAGATCTACTGATGTTTTTTGCATTCCTTCATACTATACTATTTATTTCAGCTAAGGATCTAAATACTTATGAGTGAAGACTAAACTTTTAATAGCTTGACCAACTACGTAGGCTGGCCATTCTCGGCCTGTTGCGGAGCGTGTGATATTTGTGTTTCCCGACTCCGTTCGGTCAGAATTGAGCCGTTCTACAGGACTTGTCCGACGTTTGCTTCTTCAGGGCATCGATTTGCTACACAGAACGCGGTCGTCGGCGTCTTCTGCTTTGCATCAACAACTTGTTGGACGCTGCTTTCACAAGCTCTTGGGTTTAAAAAAATTTGTTCCGTTGAGACGGAAATTTAGAGGTTGCGCGCCACGAGTTTTGCTCACGGTGCACTGTGGGTGGATGATGCAGATGGAAGAAGACTTGGGCACCCCAAAATTTGGATGTTTGTTTCAATTTTTGAAAGAGTTTGTACTATTTAATATAAGTCGTCCTTGGTCCTTTTGGCAAACACAAAAGAATAAAACTAAGGAAAGAGGGGATGCGAGATTGCGTGATGAAGCTGGAGACCGGAGGACACACAGCACAGTGATCTCTAGCTTGCAGAGCATGGAGAGGCCCATCAATCGTGGGGATATATTCCCAGTTGCTGCAAGAAGTGAAAAAAAGGGGGGATGCATGATGCATGAGCCAGATAGATAGCTTTAATCTAGCCTGCCCTGCATCTGCATGGAGGTGGAGGTGGAGGTGGAAGAAACAATGATGCATCCACCTTTCCGTCCGGCTTTACTTGGGCCCCAACTAACTGGCCTAAGCTAGCCAGCTCTCCTCCTGGTGCAGCACCAAACCGTATATAAAAGACCGCTCCACCTAGCTCCCATCTCCAAACCAACCCAGCCATCCAACACAAGACAAGCTAATTAAGCTGCCTCTCATCACCTTCTCCTTGGGTTAGATTGATAGCTAGACTAGACACACGCACGCACGCCAGATTGACTACTGGTCTCATAGATAGATAGATAGATAGATAGACTATTAATAGCGATGGAGAAGGTGATGATGAGCAGGAAGCCGGGTGACTGGAGTTGCAGGTCGTGCCAGTACCTCAACTTCTGCAAACGGGACGCTTGCCAGCGGTGCGGCGAGGCTAAGCTGGGCGCTGAGCGGCCGGACTACGCGGCCATGGGCGGCAGCTGGGAAGTCAAGCCCGGCGATTGGTACTGCGGCTGCTGCGGCGTCAATAACTACGCCAATCGCGCCAGCTGCTTCAAGTGCAGCGCCGCAAGGACAGACTCCGCCGCCGTGGCGCACAACTGGGGGTTCAACGCCGCTGGCCAGGCCGGCTGGAAGGCCGGCGACTGGATCTGCCCCAGGTTCGTCGTCTGCCTCCGGCCCCTATATATCTACCTAGCTAGCTAGCTAGCTAGCTAATCGGTTATGCTCCACTGCCTAGATTAAAGCTAGCTTAATTTCCAAGGAATGTGAGGCCTGAAAAGAAAGGAAATTAACCACCTGTTAACGTTTTGGCGATGCAGACTGGATTGTAACGTGCAAAACTACGCCAACAGAACCGAGTGCTTCCGCTGCAATGCGCCCAAATCATACTATGGTTAGCTCATCTCCTGTGAATTTAACCCATGCATCCCACGCCACATTTACACTTCTTCTTGTTTGCGAGCGACGAGGGCATTGCCCTTTGCGATGATGCATGGCACATATTTACACCTGACAGTGACAAACTGGTCTGGTGCTATATGTGATCTCATCAAATCGAATTCTTTTATTTGTTTACTTCCTTTGCAGGTTAAAAAGACAGGCCTGAAAAGAAAATTAAAAAAATGGAAGTATCATTGGAGCAAAGAACAATCACGAGTCCTCAAGGATTTTTCCTTCTTTTTTTTTTCTCCTAAAGAAAAACCTTCGCCAACCCGAGGGTTTAGTCACGTGGAAGAGGAGCGGTAAGCCGCCGCTCACTCAGAAAAGGGAGATAAGTGGGCACAAATTAACGTGTACATGTGCGCGTGTGTTTGGCTGAGGACCAACATTCGATTTTCCTTTTTCAGTAAAAGAAAGAGAAAATTCCAGTTTGGCTTCATTTGTGCACCAACTTTTGAGTGAGCTCCTGTGTGTGCGTGTGTGTGATTAATTGTTCCTAATCATTAGACTGTTGCTGCGCATGCAGTTCCATTCGCCGATATCTATCCATATATAGATGCCTTGCTCATTGCTTACGGCATATGCAAAGCGGCCGGCCGGGAATGCAGCCAGGGAGCACAGAGGCGACAGCGAATTCACCCAGCCACAAGCGAATGTTTCTTCCAAAACCTTTAGTCGCCGCGCGCGCGAGATAGAGAGATTCCGGGAGCAATCATGGCCCTGCTTTACTCGAAAAAGCGAGACGATCGAGATGCACAGGATTAATTATTACCACTTCAGTCTCAAATGCCACGCCAGCACCGCATACATACTCACAGACTACATATATACATGCATGTGGACACGCTGCTGCATGCCCTAATAGTAGAATAGAAGAGAAAGAAAGTCAAATATATATTCCCTTGTATCAAAATAAAAGACGTTTTGTGACACTGTAGTGTAAAAAAAAAGGCCTTATATTTTGATACGGAGGGAGTAACTTGGTACATAAGTTTACAAATGGAAAACTATTAGTCACAATCTTTCCTCCATGAGTTAACATACTATGAATAGTTAATTAGTTTGTCACTAACTAGCTTAATGGTCAAAGCTGCACGGTGTAAAAACATGTCTATATCTAAAACATCATGGACGGCGTGCGTGTATGTGAGCACATCTTCTCAAGTGTGTGGGGGCGAGAGAGCGAGAGGAAGGGGGTCACCAAGCATCCGAATATATATCATGGTATTCTCTACTGCTTGGTGCTTGCCTGCACAGGTTTTGGTTAGCTGGTCTTTGGCCTCTTGGCCTTACTAGTGGTGACTTGCTTACTCTCAGAGCATCTCCAACAACCGCCCAACGCGTCGCGTGTTACAAAATTATTTTGCCATGCGCCCATCGTCGGATTTGGTGCGGCGGGCAGCACTGGCTTCAGCAGCCGCGCTAGAATGCAGCGTACATGCGCAGCTCCAGTAGCGCGTAAAAATGCAGCGCGCGCGACTCTTGCACAATAACATATGCATTGCAAACACAAGAAAAATATTAAACACAAACAAAATAAATCAACAATAAATAGTTCAATTTCGTTATTACAACTCAAACAAATAGTTTATCGTTCTCAATACAACAAATAGTCCAATAACACAACAAATAGTTCAACAATACAACATCAAACACACAAATCATGATGCTCTTTGTAGCCCATTCCATACCCACCACTTCTTAATGAGATCCTTCTGAAGATCGTCATGCGCTGCGGGACGTCGAATGGCATGATAGGAGGCAACAAAACGGGCCACCCTTTCAGCCCTCCGTCGCACTCGCACGGGATGTCCCAAAAGCTCATACTGAGAGTAGTCTACATCTTGGCCACGCTCATTCTTGATGATCATGTTGTGCATGATGTACCAAAGCATTTTTTGATCCTAAAATCTAGCCGGTCCTCTTACAATAGCAAATTGGGCTTGCAAAATCCTAAAAACTCTCTCCACATCTTTTCTAGCCGCCGCCTGAGCATTGTGGAAATCAAGTTTTTTCTTACCTTCTAGTTTTTTCAACGGCTTCACAAATGTTTGCCATTTTGGGTAGATGTCATCTGCAAGATAATAGCCACAGTTGTATGTACGACCATTTGCTACAAACTACACCGGTGGCAAATCACCATTTGCAATCTTATTCATCAGTGGTGACCGGTTGACAATATTGATATCATTCAAAGATCCAGGCATTCCTAAGAAAGCATGCCAAATCCAAGTCTCTTGATCGGCCATCGCTTCAAGGATTATAGTGGAACCCCTTTTCTGGCCGTGGAATTGCCCATGCCGTGCCTTTGGACAATTTTTCCAACTCCAATGCATGCAATCTATTGAGCCAAGCATACCTGGGAACCCGCGAGCTTTGTTCATCTCCAATAGCCTTGCGGCGTCTTCAGCATTGGAAGATCTCAAATACTCCTGGCCAAACACTTAGACAATTCCAACTGCGAAGCGCTTGACAGACATGATGGCTTGGCTCTCACCTATAGCCAAGTGATCATCAATTAGATCAGCCGGGATACTGTATGCCAACATACGCAAAGCGTCTGTCACCTTTTGAAAGGTGCTATGCCCGAGCTCTCCGGCGACATTCCTCCTTTGCTGAAAAAACTGGTCATGGCTCGCTAGTTTCTCTGCAATGCGCCTGAACAACTCGATACTCATCCTAAACCGGCGACGAAAGTACGACTCGGGGTATGTGGGATTCTCCGTAAAATAATGCCTTATCAATCTGTTGTGGGCATCTATCTTATCCCTCTAAATTTTCTGCCGACCCATAACCGAACCACCGTGCTTCGGTTTTTTATTGATGTGCATAGCTAGGATCATTGCAAGATCCTCCTCCTCTTCTATATCAAATTCTTCTTCGGAAGAATCATACGACGAACTCATCTACAATGTTCAATACTAGGCTATAAAAACTACAATCAACATGCACCAAATTCATGAAGTTTGAGAAATACATACCTTGCGGGCGCCGAGCGGCAGCGAGCGGCCGCGCGTTGTTCGTCGGAGGACCACCGCGCGCGAGGAACGGCGCTGACTAGAGGAAGGCGGAGGAAGCCGCCGCGGCGCGAAGATAGGCCGGGAAAGCGCCGGAATGGTCGCCGGGTGGCGACGGCGCCGCGGCTGGATGGGGTAGGTGGAGTTGCGAGCGAGCGCTCGAGAGTCCAGCGCGCGGGAGCGGGCGGAGCAAATAAGCGGCACGCGATGGCGTTTCGGCCCGCGCGCTGAACTAGATATGCCGCGCGCGCGGTTTTTGCGCCTCCGCTGAAGCGCCCGGAGCAGTAGCGCGTGCAAAAAACACTGATTTTTCAGCGCGGCGTTTATATAGTGCGGCTGTTGGAGATGCTCTGAGCAAAGCCGACCTGTGTGTGTTTCTTTTTGTCTCTTAATTGGTGCAGGGCCAGAAAACAGCCAGAACCATTTGCTCACTTATCATGCACACCTTTTTACAATCCGACATGTGTACAGAACATATATTCATTCCCTCCAAGCACCTCTACAACAATAATCAGATTCTACGGAATACCAGTAGCAGGCCCACATAACTAGTATACCAGGTCAAATGGTAGCATCATCACTGACGATACCGGTGTTACATGCTCTGGGATCCAAATAGCAATGAAATATGAATTGAAGCTTCTCTGGAATGGATGAATACTTCACAGAGTTTGAAATGAAATGGTGCAGCGGTAGGATGGTGTTTCACCAGATTATGGAGGAACTGCACCATTTGTAATGAGGATGCAAAACCTGAACGTTGTGATATACTACTGACATTCACTTCTTAACTCATTATCTAGAAAACGAAAAGCTAGGGTGCTGCTTCTATGCAGTTTAGATTCCATGATGTCATCATTTCCTCTATCTACAACCTGATCCAACAAAACATCACATCAGCTATTTTGATTTCTAAATTCTTCCTCGAATTTTCCCAACAGCAGCCATGCCACGGACAAGTAAAAAAAAAAGAAAAAAAAATCCAAATTTGCGAACGGAGCGGACCTCTTCGTTGACTTGCAAACACAACATAAGTATTATACTCCAGATATCAGTGTGTACTGTTGTTCTCAACTAGTGATGATATTGACATGGTGAATTCTTCTCCCAGCCTCCAAATTTAAATGCGTGCTCAGTGACACTCAACTGCAAACAACTACCACTGGCAAACTAGAAGAGGAACAAGGACTAGCCTGAAAGCATATCATGATCTGATTGTGCTTGCGCACTTAAGGGCCGTCCTGACCAAAGCATCCAGCAGGTCGATGCATTTCTTGAGCCGCGGGTCGACACGTTTGTTGAGCTGCAGGTGGTCATCAAGAAAGATACCAAAAAGTCATCCTAATATTTACACTAGCTCTAGCCTAAATGTCTCCAGATTCTGGAAGGGGGTATTACCTGTCATTAAATCCATAAAATTTGGACATAGATGGCAGACTTTTTTTTGAACAAAGGGATGGCGCCTTTCATTAATCTGAAGAACATGACATCCATAATTTTACAATGACTGATGTTTAGATTGCCTAGCTTCAAAAGCATAGGACAGTGATCAACTAAATGAGTCTTGCTATTACAAGCCATTTGAGGGCTAATATTGTGTTCTAAAGAGTCACTAATGCTCAACACGGTCATGCTGGAGCTGGGTATGAACTTCTCGGTTCTTGATCCTCCGATGCGCTTTAAGGAATGCTTGAATCCCTTTTGGATCATGCTCTAGCTTAACAGGATTCCCATTGGTGATGTAGCGAATGTTCTCAGGCATTTCTTTCTCATCTCCAATGATCATGTTATGCAACAAGTCATGATTTACCATGGAAACTTGTAATTCCAATACTCGCAGGGCCACGGATGATTGCAAAGCGCTTTTGAAGCACACCCAAACCTCTCTCCACATCCTTTCTAATAGACTCTTGACGTGTTGCAAAGTGAGAACTTTTGTTA